GGCGCCGCGCCGTGGCCACTCGGAGTCTCCTCCTCCCTCCCATGTTTGAGAGGGAGGAGGGGGAGACTCCGAGTGGCCGCGGCGCGGGCGCTGCTTCTCCCCGTCCCTCCCTCCCAGGCTCTCAAGCCTGGGACGGAGGGGGAGCAGCGGCGCGGGAAATGGCCGCTCGGGATCTCCCCCTCCCTCCCAGGTTTGAGAGCCTGGGAGGGAGGGCGAGTAGCGGCGCGTGAATCAGCTGTTTCGCACGCCATGGCAGCAGCAGCGGAGGTGAGCTAGGACGGCCGGGGCACATTTTTAGGGGCGGCATTCTGGCGCCGGCCATGCCGCCCCTAAAAACTGTGCTGCCCCAAGCACCAGCTTGTTTTGCTGGTGCCTAGAGCCGGCCCTGGGGATGAGCCCAACATATAGCCAGCCAAGAATCAGTAAAGGTGTCTTAAAGTCATTGCTGCACCACTGACCTAAGTGTGTTGTTTACTTCTCAGCCATGGCCAAGATTGTGAGCATTGTGTTAAATCAGTGAGCTGATCTGCAGGTTGTGTAACCGGAAATCAATGGAGCAACAGCTGAGGAGCTTGCCTAATATGTTGTGAGAGAAGGAATAAAGTCTGTGATTATAGACAGCAAGTTAATAGTTAATATGTACCCCTCCCCCCCCGATAGAATGATTGACCATGAAAATCGAAACATGCTCATTCAATTCTAAGATTTAAATAAAGCAACTTGTTCCTTAGTGACAGATTTTGTTTTTCTCAATCTTTTAAAGAAAAGTGGTATTGCCAATGTCAATAACTATAATACAATGCAAAGATAGGCGGCACCAGAGTAACTTATATTATAATAGTGTCTAGTGTGTGTTTGTGAAGCAAGAATATCAGATCTGCTAGGGCAAAACCTGTGCTCTTCTTACAAATACTTTGTGCCTGACATGAAGAAAAAAAAAGACAGAGAAAGGAATTTGTAAAGTGAAATCCATCATCAAATGCAAAGGCTGGATAGGATCCATCAACAATAACCTGTCTTTGAGAAAATCCATGAGGTTAAAAACATGTCTGAATCATTAATACTTGATGGAATTTCTGGAGTAGAATATCTCGCCATATTTTATATATCCACAATTTGACACTGAGTAGAGGCTTTGTGTTTCAGTGATAAAATTAAAATAGATTTTTCTTGCCAAGGTACAGGATATTAGTAGGCCACAGTCAGATTGAAGGTAACAGTCAAACCAATCTATTCAGTGATCTTCTGGCCGAGAATCTATACTGTTTCCTATTGTATGCAGTCATAGGAGGTAGAAGTGGGACCTTTAACATTTGGTTAAATCATCCAGACAGTCTATCTGCCAATGCAGGATTGTTCCTTACAGCGCATCTTCTAATATGTTTTGCAGTCTAATTTTAACTATGCCAAATGTTGAGGCTTTTACCACTTCTCTTGAGAGATTCTTTCACAACTTAATTGACTTTAGTTCCAGGAAGCTTTTCGAGATACCCAGCCTAAATCTTCTGTTTCTCAATTTCCTCCTGTTACCCACCTAGTTATATTCCTATGCAGCAACCTAAAAAATTCTTCTTCGTCATCGTTTACACCATTCAAATAGTTGTGGATTTTTGTTGCCTCACATTCAGTCAGGCTTTGTAATTTTGAATGAGTCTGCAAAGCACTGTACCCAATTCTAGTCCATGATCACAGCACTATGCCCAATTCAACACTAAGGATTTTGGAAAAACTGAGCGAGAGAATTCTTTGGGATGCATCCCCAACTTAACTGATGCATTTTATATAAATGCTTGATTACCTGTATTACTGAACTGTCTAGGAACCAGACAAAAACAGGGCCATGTTGTGCTAGGCATTTTACATAGAGAAGTACACTGTCTGCCTTGAAGAACGTACAGTCTAGATATACCTGACAGAGAGAGGGTAGGAGAAAGGGATATAACCTACAAACAGAGTGGTGCGTCTTACATTCCCTCCACCCCTGCCCCAGCTTCCTGTTGCAGAAGTAGAGGTTGGCTACTAGCTGCTGACTACAAAGTTTTCTGGACCAGGAAGATGCATTTTTGATAGGCAGAGATTCTTCTTTCCATTTCTAGTTCTCTCCAAATTAAGGAGAGCCCCTCTGTAACTAGCTTCTTGGTGCCCAAAGTGTTTCCTTGCTGCTTTTTGGCTCAGAAAAGGTGACTAACAAATATATTTAACTTTTTTTTTTTTAATTTCCTCAAACATCAGTCCTTTCCAGACCGCTGTTCTTTGGTTTTGTTTGGAGGGGTTTTTGTTTTTGTTTTGCTTTTTTGTGTGTGTTATATCTGAACTCCCTCCAGTATGTCAAATTCTTTCTGGTAATGAGGTGACCAAATCTGCATGCATTCATTCCCAAATTGGTGTCAGCAGAGCCTTAGAGAATTGGAAGCAGGGCCGGCTCTAGGCACCAGCAAAACAAGCTGGTGCTTGGGGCGGCACATTTTTAGGGGCGGCATTCTGGCGTGGGCCATGCCGCCCCTAAAAATGTGCCCCGGCCGCCCTAACTCACCTCCGCTGCTGCCGC